TTGCATAAAATATAGCAAGTGTAAGTAATAAATCTAATTTTAAAAAATTTGCATGAAAAATGTAAAACCAAAACCAAATTGCAGTAAAACCAAATTATATGAATATTTTTGAATTATCTTTATTTAAAAGATTAAAATTAGAATTAAAAAATTAAATGATTATTAAAATAGAATAGCCAACTTTCTTTTTCTATGTGTACATTAGATTTTTATGAAATAAAAGAGCGTTCCGGTCAAATTTGATAGATGAAATAATATAAGAAGCAATTATTGGATCGATTAAGTAATATTTACAAAAAAAATTAAAAAAAACTCAGAATAAATGAAGATTAATTAAGTGCTGAAGGATTCTCTGGAAAAGTGAGGAAAACGCATTCTATGAAGGATTCTCTGGAGAAGCAAACACTGGTATTGAAAATGATCAGTCAAATAATCATCAAAAGTTAATCATAGATGGATATGTTTTTTAGGCTAAACCTGATTAGTAAAGTAATTTCATTATGCTTTCTTCAAAAAAAATTTCGATCGAAGAATTTAATTCAAAAGAAAAGAATTTTCTTCAATATTTTTTTCAGTGGAAAATAGCTTCATTCTATCATTATCAATTATATGTTATATGTTTTGAAGAATTTTTGAGTTTGCTAAAATTCTTGTCAATCCTTTTTCAGTGGCTTCATATCAAGTGGTAAGTGGTTGACACTAAACGTTTCTAATTAGACTTGCTCCATTAGGCTGTGTTAGCACGGTTCGAAATATCAGGTTATTTGGCTAATAGTACATCGCCAGCACTAAATTTTAACTACAGGTTCGCTTGTGTGGGAGGCAAGAGCCGAAACTTTGTCTCCATAATAATTCTGATTTAAATCACCTTTCAAGAATTTTCGGTTCGTCTGATCCATTCATTGTTTACCATACTACCGATTTATTCAGACTTATTCATTCCGTTAATTCATTCCATCATTTAACCGGCTTTAGCGTTACTGATCATTTGATCGCATAATAATCTTTCGAAAAATAAATTTTCATTTATTTTTTATGATATTGTGCATATTGCAAGTTTAAAACTGAGCGTTCTGGAATTTTAGCGAATTTCAGGAGAAAATGTGATGCATTTAATGCGATTGATTGAAAAAAAATAGGTTGTAGGAGTCTGCAGTACTGCATTTTGGCTCAAATTTGGATTTGGGTTCTTTTTGACCTAAAATCACTTGTAGAAAAGAAATTAGTCTCATTACTTCGTTAATTCTATGTACATTAGATTTATGCATCATAGGCCTTCAGCATGTTTCTCATCAAAATTCTTATCTTTAATGTAACAATTATTTCTCCGAATAAAATCTCCAAAAAATTGAAATTTCTAATTTCCGCATTTTCACGATGGTTTGATTTAGTTCAAACGTTTCCGCAATGAAATTTGGAGAGTATATAAACAGAAGAATGAGGTAACACGGCAGAACAACCAAGTGGAGGATGAGAAAGTAAAGATCGGCAAAAAGTTCGACTCTTGCCTAGGGTGAATCTATTGTAAAAAAATCGGCATGGTGCCGGTAACCCACTTACATTTCTATCATTAAAAGCGACTCGCCAGCAAAATTTGTCTAATTTGTCTAATTTGTCTAAACCAGCAAATCGAGCCTAACCAGCAATGGTGAACGCTAACCACTTTCTTTAATTAACAACAAGATTCATAACTTTTGGTTTTTTGGATTACAAATTTTTTTAAAATTTTCTATTTTTTATTCCACGGTCTGCGAAGAAACGGTTAGAGCAATAGGAATAGTGCCAGCGATGCGATTTGGTTATCAAGCATAGCTTAAGAAGGTGGCCTCGATTTTTTCAAACATCTGGTTTTATTATTCCAAATCTTCACAACCTTTGTTCGTTTTTTCTTTTTGATGCTGACTTATATCAAAATGATCTATTTGTGGTCACTATATGGTTTCCTTGAAAGAGTTGGTTTTTTTGCCAGTGAAATGATCAATTTTTATAGGGTTTCTGTGGACTTTTTTCCTATAAAATTGTAGGATTTTTTATCAGTTGGCTAAGAAAGATTTGCATTAAATTTTTCGAGTTAATTTTTTTGCAGAATAATGTTCTAGCCGAATTCTAGCAGAATTATCTGAATTATAGCCGTTGTTGAATATCATTCAAAACCGAAGAAATGACTATATTTTTGGGGCAGTTTTTTTACACGATATCTCTAATTCCTAACAAATGCTCATACATCGTATGAGTAATAAGAAGTTCAGTGGTGTTGTTAAGCGACCGTTCAGTGCTTTGCTTATAAAGCTGAAATTTTCAAACAAAAATTTAGAAAAAATTTCACGCAAACTCAACTGTAAAATGGGCTTCGCAAATCATTTAATTCCTTAACCGAAAATTCGACTCAAAGCTTTTAGTTATAGTTAGGTATTTGATTGTTGTTGGAATATGCGAATATCATAACAAAACTGAATTTGTATTGAATTGCTGCTGTTTTTTACTTTTTTAGTGAATATTCATTTTATGTATTTATATATTTTACACAGATTTTTAATACTACATCAAATAGCTATGGATAATTTTTTGATATTCTCTTCCTCCTTTAACATTCTTGTCATTCTGGTTTGATTTATTCTACTAACTAGGTTGCGATCATCGCGCCCGAAAAACACCTGAGAAAATCGTGTGAATCCCCAGTATTACCCAAATCTTCTGTGATCACATTTGCATGTTAAAGAACTAAATTTTAGAATGCTAACAACTAGTGAAAATTGTTAGTGGGATAGGATGGCTCAGTGGGTTATTGCTCAATTCGAAGTGCCGGTGCTGATTTTATTCCCAACAGGAGTAAACTGTCCAAAAGTCCGGATGATGCTGGCGACTCACCTGCACTTCTATCGCCAAAGGTCTCTCTGGCATATTTGTCAAATGCGACAAGCCAGCGGAGCGAGTTTAACCCACTCAGCTGGCACTCTTAAAAAAAGAATGAAAATTGTAAGTGAAGTAACTATTCGCCATTACATGAAGAGTATTGTTTAAAATTTTGCAATTTCGAATAATTTCGCATAAAAATTTTTCAGTTTCCATTCAAAATTCTTTCGATAAAAAACTTCAACTTGCAAATGAAACTTTTTCTTATGTTAGCATCCACGGTCACTAGTTCAGTACTAACTAACTAGCAAACAAATGTGCCGCTGGATCACCAGCAGCGCACGCATTTCAGTTTTGATGACAGGATGTGTTTAAATCTCGCTCATAATTTTTAAACTTAGTTCAACCTTATGTTAGCAAACTTTCTAGGAAACATCAAATGCTTATACTGGATCGAAACCAAAGCAATCCGGGAATCAATGTAGGAATGAAAATAAGCTTAAATTGAAGAAAACTCAAAGTTTTTATACGAACTCTGCATCCGTTTTTTTAAAATAGACGATGGTGATATCAATATTAACTGCACCGTTCAATTTAATTTACTTTACCTCAAGGCTGTGCTAATTATTTAACAGTTAGGTGGAAGTTGGATGATCTGAATATTCACGGATCGATCACGGTGCGGGGATGAACTAATTTCAGCTGTTTTAAGTGAAAATTCCTGAAAAATCACCGGGTAAGCACAAACCCTTCCGATAATACATTTTAGAATACTCTGTGAACAACCAAACAAAATTTCTATTTGTAAATCTTGTATGTAACGATTTCCCTCTCTAGTATACAGTATTGTCTTCCTCATTAATCTCTTGAAGTCTAAATTTCAAAGACACACACACCATACAAGAAACTGGCAAGTAACTATGCTTCACTAATCTATCCTATAATATAGCGTTGCAAGTTGAATAATAAATAAGTTCAAAATTTGGAAGTGTGCCAACAAATTTTGAACTTCCTGAATTACGTACCGTTGCCATTAGACATTGATGCTGATTGTGATGCTGTGGTACCAGGTAGTGTGGTGTCGTGTGGTTTATTTTGTGTTTTGCAATGCTTTTAATTATCATTCATTTTGTCACTCCACAAATTTAAATGTATATTATGTATTTAATGCAAAGATGCCTTAAATATATCCCATTTTTTGCTTAATTATACGATAAATATTCAATTCTCTTTTTATTTTTCTCGATTTTCGGGTATTTTTAAATTTTTATGTTAATATTTTTGTTTTAAACTTATTTATTTTAGATTTTTTTTCTTCTGTAAATTCATTTTCATATTCCAAACAGTATAGTTTTGTTCGATTAAATAAGCGAAAAAATAAAATTATTTCAGGTAATTAGTTGTTTTCATAATTAGCTGAACACTTTGGAGAAATATTTTTCTTAAACGAAAATTGGATTAGTCGATTTTTTCTATTCATGTTGAGGTTTATTGCATGAATTTTTCCGTTGTTTTTTTACTGGAAATCGTCGCCAAGTATGCGCGAATTTAAGGTAATTTTATTTTGCTTAATTCATATTTAATTTATTGAATTATGTTCAGTTATTTGATTAATGACTAACATTCTTAATTAAATCCAGTCCACTGGTTATTAGGATGAGAAAATTTCGCCAGAGGGCCATCTGGAGGTAAAAGCACTGGTAGCTTTCTAAATTTTTGTTTAAGGGCTGAGTGGTTGAAAAGGTAAATCTACCCAGCATACCACTCGTTTGTGCCTTAGAAATATCTTTAAATTTTAGATGTTACCATTTAATGCTCAAATATATATCGCTTCAATAGAAATATATAGAAATATACCATAAATATTATATTTTACATTAACGTCAACGTAAATATATCATTTTACATTTAAATATAATATAACCTTTATATCTTTATATATTATACCTTTTAATATAATATATAATATGTTTTTATATCTTTAATATTATACCTTTTTATGTTTATTTATATACCACTTTGATCTTCTGCCATGTTTGATTTAAACTTTTTGCTTTCAAATATTTTACAGTAAGATTTAGCATATTCTTTCAAGAACAGTTCGAGAGTTTAATTTTGATCTGTAGAAATGTATTTTTCCATTTTAGGTGGTAGTACTTGGAAGTGGTGGAGTTGGTAAATCAGCACTTACTGTGCAATTCGTATCGAATACTTTTATTGAAAAATATGATCCAACTATTGAAGATTTCTACAGGAAAGAAATTGAAGTAATGTATTTTTTTATAGCAACAATTGGGAATTTTATTTTTAATTTTTATATATGAAATTTTCCAGCAAGTAGCTATAGTTATTAAATTTATTTATTTATTTCAACTGGTTTTATTTTATTTTCTGATTATGATTCCTTCTTATGAGCCCAGTTGAGGATAGGATGGTTCAGTGGGGTTGTTGCTCGATTGGGCCGCTGACGCTGAGGTTCGATTCGATTCCTTGCAGGAATAAACCTGTACAAAAATCCGGGTGATGCTGGCGACTCACCTGTATTTCTATCGCGTGGGACTCCCTGTCATATTGCCCAATATGACAAACCAGTGGAGCGAATTTAACCAGTAATGGTGAGGGCTTTTATGAGCCCAGTATATTTTCTTTCAGTTAATTATTCCCTTTTCAAATATGGATTGGGTCAATTATTGGAAAAAGTCTTGTAAATATAAAAAAAATTTTTACAGAAAATTTGTTGAATTCATACAGAAAAGCACATTGTTAGATATAGGCATTAATTGAATCGTTAGCAGTAAAGTAACTGAAATTAATTATTTTCTACGCTTTTAGGTTGATGGACAACCTTGTGTTCTTGAAATACTTGATACAGCTGGTACAGAACAGTTTGCATCAATGCGTGATTTATATATCAAAAATGGACAGGGATTTGTCGTTGTTTATGCCATTACTAGTCAGCAAACATTTCATGATATAAAAACAATGCGTGATCAAATCATTAGAGTTAAGGTTGGGAATAAGTCGAAATTATATACTTTTTTAATTTTATATACAAAAGTTTCGCTAAATTTTTGATCAAAAAGAGCGATGAGGAGAATGTAAATTTTTTTTCTTCAGAAATATGCACTTTTATTTATATGAAACATTTGCAGGGTACTGATCAAGTTCCTCTATTACTTGTTGGAAATAAATGCGATTTGGTTCATCAAAGGCAGGTCTGTTTTTTAAGTATTTCATTATCGATATCAGTTTTTCAATTTTCTAAATGATCAAGCAATAGAATTTCAAGTTTTAGGTTCGAGTTGAGGATGGTTTAAGCCTCGCTGAATACTGGTCATGCCCATTTACGGAATGCTCAGCAAAAAATGCGCATAATGTAAACACAGTTTTCGCTGAAATTGTTCGCGAAATGAATTATGTTCAGAATACTCGAGCTAAACAAAATCAGGGATGCTGTGCAATCTTTTAAAATTTAATGTGCTCCTTTTCTTCATACTGCTTCATAAATTTATTTGTAATGAAATGTTGACGTCTTTTTTAAGTTTAACTGGATTTTTTTTTGAAACAATATTTTATTTAAATATATATTTTTATATATTATATAATTTATATATTTTTTAATGTCACAAGCTTAAATTGCCATTTTTCTTGATATTTCTTGCATTCACAGGTTGAAGTGTTAAATTCTGTAGGCAATATAGGTAACGGAATTTCGAATACAATTTTATTTGTGCTTTAAAAGGGGCTTTTATGTTTTTTTGAAAGAAATTTATGTAAAAAATGGTCCGTTTATTTTAATTTTAATAACTGTAGTGCCTAGTTGTTTATTTCCTCATATTTGTTTCAAAAGTTTATATTTTTTCAGTATTTATAGTTTAATTTCTGTTTAATCGTCAGTATTTTAAAAAATGTTTCCCAATGTTTTTTTTCATCAGAAATCCGTCAAAAGTCCTTCATTCAGATTTTTTTTGCTTTTAAGAGACTTCAGAACTTTCCGAATTTAATATCTATGTTTTCATTAATAACAAAATCGATTTTTTGGGTGGATTTTGGAGGAGATAGTGGTGTGTATGCTTCTTGGATGATTCTTGTTTTGACGTGAATTCGTAGGCTCCGTTTTGTTTCTTTTTGCTATTTTTTGATGGTTTCAAAATATTTCAGGCCTTATAAATTTTTGATTTTTTCTTTATATTTAGTAATTTTATGGATTTATGAATGCTTCTATCAGTTCCCGATTTGATCTCTTTTATCTACTTTCGTGGCAAATCGTTCCAGTGGTTTTTATAACCCAGTCTGTGGTTTCACTTTTTTGCACTTAAATTTTGTCGTCAAAATATTAATTTGAAGATTTTCTTTTTTTTCATTATGTGAAATATGAGGAAAATATTTAGATATATATTTACAATATATGTTAAGATAGATATATGATTCATCGTTTCATAGTGCTTCAACAATTGCCAATTCCTTGGCTTGATTTGACATTTGTTTTCATTTGTCCATTTTTGCTCAACAGAATTTTTTATGGTTCATTCGATTCGTATTTGCATCAGCTGATAATTTCAGGCATGCTTCTTTTAAGGAGCTCATATTATCAAACATCTTTCGTTCCAGTCTCTGAATGTTTTTTGATATTCGCATTTTAGGTGATAAATAAATTGATATTATCACTGGTAGGTTTTGTGCTTAAAATATATATATATAACTCATAAAAACTGTATATATATATATATATATATATAGCTTTTATGAGTTTTATTTGAAATGTTGGAAATTATTTTTTGCTTTACTATTACGATTGAAGCCTTGCTAGGATTTTCGTTTTTTTTTTGCTCAAAGCTCATTTTCTTATTTCTTTATATTGAAATTTCCATGCCAAACTGAAACTGCTTATCAATGGAAATTTTCTTACTTTTTATTTGAAAAGTACGAGGTCAGCCGATTTTTTTTTTTCAACCTTTTTACTCAGCAGTGATCCTTGTCTCATTTATTGTATGTGTTCACATTTGGATGGCATTGAATTGACTGAATTCTCTCGTTCTTCTGGATTTTCCATAAATTTAGTCATTTATCCTGAAACGCAGAGAATTGGTGTGAATGAAAACTGGTGCATATTTTATAATAATAAGCTAACTCAGTTAAAATGATGCTTTATTTTAATTTGGTTTTTTAAATTACATTTGTTTTCAAATAAATATTTTATAAAGATCAGTTAAAAGGCAAATTTGTTCTTTTCTCTTTTTTTCTCCATTCATTTTGTTTTTTTGGATGTATTTAGCAATTTTATTTTCAAACTTTTTGCAGTTTAAAATAATCATTTGCTACCATTTCTAAATATTTTTTTCTTTATTTTTTCTTATAAATATTAACAGAAATGAATGTTTGCAATCGATTTCCTCGGATTTTTTAATTTACTGTTCTAATACATCTATATATTGAAAATGGTTATTAGTATATATTGAAAATTGAAAGTTTATTAGTATTATCTTATCATACCATTGATCGGTCTTAAACGTTTTTGAAACTGAAGAGTTAAGGAAAGTAAACAATTCGCATTTTTTTCGCAAAACGTTCGATAAATTCGTTTAAAAGTGTTTAAATAAATAATGGGAAATAATATATTTATTTAAATAAGGCTATGTTGTATTGAAAAAATTCCGGAAAGATAGTAATCTATGAGGCAAAAAATTCGTGAATTAAGGTGTATCGCATTTGCCTTTCCACTTTGAGAATTTGGAATTAGGATTGTGGCGCATTTTGACATTTCTTTTTTCTTTTGAATTTGAATAAAATTTTATTAGACGTGGAAAGATGGTGAGTTATATCGGTCTGATTGCCAGAGGTTTCTTATTCTTTGATAATTTTACATTAAAAATTGTGGCTTGGTCTAGGGCCATCCGTATATTTGCGTTTGTGTGACCCAGGATTCAGTCACTTTAGCAATCAATAAATCCTGCCGAACTGGAAATGCTATTCAAACATGAATTCATGTTAAGTCTATTGCGAATTTAATTACTATTTTTTATAATCGATCAATCATTAATTAAAATGCATTTTGAGGAATTAAGTCGAACAGGACAAGCTGTCGGATAGTGCTGATGCGATTTTTAAGAGCCATTTTAGGCAGTATTGGAAGTACTGCACCACTCATAGCATCAACAGCCAAGATTTCCAAGCTTCTTTCGCCACCAATATTAGCATGGCAACAAGAAAGGGGTAGTATTTGCTTTGATATTTTATTTCGCTTGATTGACCTACGCTTTATGAACCTGTTTTATTTTTGAAGCTCGTAAGCGTAATTTGAAAAGGACGCTGTCAAAGCAGGAAAAGCAAGAAATTCGCTTAAGGCTAGAAGCGAGAGAAGCTGCTCGTAAGTTGAAAAGCTATGCAAATCGAGCCAAGATGCGCCAAGCAAAGAAGATGTTAGTTTATGATTTGGATCCCTAACTGGAACTGCAAAGGTTTTACGCTTATTTCTACAATTTTGAAATAAATACCGCTTAATCGTAAATTCATTTTATAGTTTAATTTTACTCGTTATGCTTTCGATTTAGGCTTTCCATTTCAATGCGTTATCCCGGTCGTTACGTGAAGGAATCTGAAAATCACCTCCCTTCTCAAGCTGCGACTAATATCATTATCGATAGTCGAGTTAAAACACATTTTTATACAATAGTTGAAGCGCTCGATTTATTGAGGTATCCAGGAGCTTCGATTATTGAATGGATTAAGTTTATGAAAGTAGAATACAAATTATTACAATATTTTGCATTTGTAAGGAGCTCTTCAAATTGAGTAGACCTCTCTATTCTGAAATTTCCAGTATAGTTTATAGCTGATGCAACTGGTCATAGGTATATCTTTCCTTATAGAAATAATTCCTCCGTTGAGTAATGGGTATCGTTTTTTAATTCAGGTGGCTTATAGGCAACTGCAGCAACCTTCCATTTACAACAATAAGAATGCACGTTTGCGTTTGCGTATAGAGTTGAACATGGAAACGGAACGAGCGGTATTGAATTTGGCCATTTGTTTACCCCTTAAATGTAATTTATAAGAAATAATTTCTTTTATTAAGCATAATTTTTGTAAAGATAAATTTTTATTTCCAGTAAATCATTGCAGACTAAACCAGTTAAAGATTCTTCCGAATTGGTGCCTGTTCCATATAAGTTTGAGATGAATGAAAAACGTGCAATATTAGCATTTGTAAAAAATGTGGCTTTGCAAGAATATGCTGTCGAGCATGGTGCTGAAATGGCTTTTGGTCCAGATATCATTAAAAAAGTTTGCATTGAACGGAATGAAAATAATAAAGCTATTAAGTACAACGCGAATATTAATAGGATATACGAAGAGGCTTTATTTAGATGATATTGAGCTGGGCGGTGTCGAGTAAAAATACTCTTAAAATATTAATATCTGTTCATCACTTTTATTTTCCTAGAGTTTCATTAAAATCATAGAGTTCCCTTTATATATTGATTGGCATTCATACGTCAGCAATCAACAATATATTTTAGATTATAAAGGGTCAATTTCGTGTTGATGATTACGATTTTTGTGTGGCGCATACTGATATGGCTGTTCATATTTTACCCTTGCGAGGCATTTTAAAATCTCGGTTCCCGACAAAAATTAATGGTTTTGTTGCAGTTTTTTAAAATTTTCGGGAGATTTCAACATCTTTTCATTAGCATTCTTCCCATTAATCTATCCAACTATTTCTATGACATAAGGGTCCTGATTTTTCACTACTTTCTCTACTTTCAAGTTTATATTTTACGGTCATTTCCGTCCTCGAAATGCACAATTTGAATTGGTATTATAATCATTTACAGGTGGTCTGGGAGAAGATTTAGGGCCGATAATTGAGATGTTCAAAAATGGTGTGAAGTTGGATATTATAACGGACACAGTATATCCAAAATGGGGTATTGTTGATACCGTAATTGGAAGGGTATGTATATATATATATATATATATATATATGTATATATATAATTTTTTATTTCGTGTGAATATTATTAGTTTGTGAAACATGGGAATTGTTTTTTTTTTTAATGATAATTTACACAATTTATACATTATACTACTTTATTAAAGCTTCAAATGCTCAATGAAGAAATTGAAGCCAATATCAAGGCTGTTGTCAAAGCTACTTGCAAACATCGAAATCCGGCCCTCGGTAAGTACCAGAATTATATATTTATTAAATATATTTTACTAAATACCTTAATCATATTCTTCTTTTCTTCTAAAAGGCCTTATTTCCAATTTAGCTGCCTTTAAATTTTTTTCACTAGAGCGTCCTCATTTGAAATGAGTCCCCAGCGTTATCTGGATTTCACGTTTATTACGGTTTACTTTTTTCAAAAAATTGAGAAGCAAACCCACTTGCCCAAGTAATATGACTCAGCCACTTAGCTCCTCATCACCATAGTTTGATTGTGTACCATATTTATTCTTATGCATCAACCTTTATCGAATTTTTTAGGCCTATTCATTAACAGAGCAGTTCTTATGGCGACTCCTGGCGATGCTTATTTCTCTATTAATATTGACCATTTTTGCCCTGTACCTACAGCTGAGGATATTGCTGTTGTACGTTCATAAATTTTTTTTGTTAATGAGCTTTACCAGTTTCTCGCTGTGAACTATGCGAACTTTTTGGTCACATAAAGCATTGAACGAACTGTACTCCCTCTTGTCAAGTTTTGATTCAGAAGTAAATTGTTTGATAAGTTTAGATTGAGAAACGGAAAAATAAGAAAACGAAAAGAAGCCAGAGCGAAGTTGTCCAAAATGATACTTCTACTTCTCAGTCTAAAACCAGCGACATCGAGATGATGCGAACTGAAGTTGAATTAGCTGGATAATATCATGCTGTTAACAGACAAAATCACTATGAAAGAATATATTAGTTTTATTGTGTCGTCATATTAAATTTTCAATAAAAAATATTTGATGAGTATTTCGAATGATATCAGTTCTCTAAATGTATCAAAAGATTTTTAAGCTTGGCACAAAGAAGAATATCTTTCCTCTATTGTTTCTACCAAATTTCAAACCTGGGATTGAAGTAAATTATTTGAAGATCTTCCTATATTTTCTGATAAATGGAATATACATCCTTAACTTTAGCTTTTCATACTGTACAATTTAGTCTATTTGTTCCGTTTGATTTTAATTAAAATTATATAAAAAATAAATTATGAACTTGTACATACCATACGAAAGCCAAGAAACAATCATAAAATATCACGATTGAAAGACATTTAAACGCTGGGAAATTAATGTTCTATATTAATGAAAAAAAGGACTCAAGATTAGGCGACAATGAAAATTTATAAAATGATAACACCAATCGTGCCAATAAAATTAAGACAGAATTATTCCTTTATATGATGTGTGTTGAGGCCCAACGCGATTTTAAGTTATATGATATTAGGAAGAGTGGTTTTCTTGTAAATGTCAGGAAGACAAATTCGAAGCATCCAAATGAAAAGAAGTTCATTTATTACAATATGCCGAAGAACTGAAGACCAAAAGAATGATTTGTGAATGAAAAAAATCATTTTTTCAAGCGGTTCCTTATACTAAAATTTAAAAACCCCACCCGATTCCCATCGGCTCAATATAGCCAAATGAATATGTTGTATGTCTAATTAACAACAAAAACGACAAAGATCATCCTTGCTTTTGGCCTTTAGTCTATTCAACCACCTTCAAAACCTTCCCCACGGCTATAGTTCGACCTTCATCTCGTAAAGTAAATCGACCCATTTGTGGGAAATCCTTAAAGGGTTCCATACAAAACGGTTCAGCGCTTTCCAACCGCATGATGCATTTTTCATCTTGCTTCACAAATCGCGCCTTCTTCTTTTCACCACTTTTTTTATCGATTGTACATATCACAGTCTGAAAAAAAATGCAGGTGTGGAAATACAGGTAAAAAACCACAAAGGATAATATCAATGCAAACTGTATTGCGTTTCTAATTCGTTTCTTAGTCACTTTATGGAGAATAAACGTAATAAACGTCTATAGTATTCGAAACTGTTAGAAACAAAATATAAAATATTTATCTGCAGAGTCAAAGATTTATGGTCTTATAATGCATTAGTTAAATATAATTCGATATTTTACATAAAAAAGCAAAAAAGATAATGAGTTGACCTTAACTGTCACCTCTTCCACAGCTGATTGTATATGAAGAACACAGGAATATCCAGAGGCGATAATTGACTTGTGTTCTGATATAAACACCTATAAGCAAATTTTGAATTATAAACAAAAAAAGACTTTTTTAGAATGAAGAATGAAATTGAAAAAACCTCTGCATCAAACACTCGGCCTACACGGCACAGCGAATCTGGTGAACAAATCACGAAACCTGGCAGGATATCTGTATCTTCAACACCCTTTAGCTTCAATTTGACATTGTCTCCCGAAAGCACTTTATCCGTTTCTACGTCATCCGACCACAACTGTATTACTAGGACATTCATCTAAATATTAAGCTTAAAAACAAAAAATCAAAAATATTTTACCAAGATCAACAAAGAAACAAAAGAGGTAAACTATGCAATGATTTTAAAAAAACCACTCGATATAAATTTCTGGTAGTTAAACAAAAATAACCCTATTCGGCATAACAGTCATCGTTTGGCCTTTCGCAATTACTCCTGATTCCATCTTACCGATGACAATAGTGCCCATGTCCTAAAATGAATCGAGCAGATCCAGAAGAAAATTTTAACAAAAAATTTAGATAAATTCAAACCATCAAACGCCAAAATTTAAAAGCAAAAACAGAAATCGCCTATTGAAAAAAAATCAAAAAAAATTTGAAGATTACGCTATATTTATCAGCTATGATTGCTCGCACAGGTCCATCATAATCTCTTGAGAACGATGGTAACATTGCATCGAGATATTCAATGAAACAAGGTCCCCTAATGAAAAAGCTCGTTGATTTATTATATCACATTTAATTAAAAAACAGAGAAGAAATCTCATAAGAAGTGAAATGTTGTTAAGCAAAAATAATAAACAAATAATAACATAGGAAATAAAAAATTCACTTACTTATACCATAAGCAAATATCAGCAGCATCACGATTTTTTAAGAAAGCGCCAGTCAATCCAGAAACTGGTATATAAGAAATTTCAGTTTTTGGAAATCCGCATCTTCGCAAAAATGGAGTTAATTTGCTCTGAATCTCTTTAAACCTAGAAATATTCAAAACTCGTGCATAGAGGAAATGGTTAATTTATATACTCAACACCTATTGACTGCCCAAGTGTAAAATTCACAAATCACAAACATAAAAATGAAATTATTTATCAGTAATTAATGATTACTGATAAAGTTGAATCCTAAATAAAGATAAATACCTACCTTTCTTCATCCCACTGGACAGTGGGATCATCCATTTTGTTTACTAAAATAACTAAATTTTTAACACCCGCTGTTTTAACAAGCATAGCATGCTCTTGCGTTTGTCCTCCACGATCGAAGCCAGTCTCAAATTCTCCTTTTCGAGCACTGATTACCTAAACAAAACTAGTAATATTACTCAAAAAAATATCTAGCATAATCAATCCTTCAAAATCCCTATATAATTATAGATGAATGATTATTTCAGGAAAATATGACAAAGTATCGAATTACGATATACCAAAACTGCCACATCGGCTTGAGATGCACCGCTAATCATATTTGGTACAAACGATTTGTGACCAGGGGCATCAAGAATCGTATAATGTTTTTTCGCCGTTTCGAAATATGCACGACCACATTCTACCGTTTTCCCTTTCTCACGCTCCTCTTCATTCGTATCCAGTGCCCAAGAAAGATACCTGAAATAATTTTTTTTTGAAAATCAGATGAGCGCCAAACTCAATCAGTATAGATGGTGAAGAAATCTTAAGAAAAGAATGAAATAAACAATAAAAGAAATGCAAATGAAAAAGGAATCAATAACAAGGGTGGAAAAATAACATAGCCTGAATCAAAACATATTGCAATCAGAATTTTACCAGGATTCACGACCCTTATCCTTGGCTTCTTTTTCATATTTCTCAATAGTTCGTTTATCCACCATTCCAGTCAAATACATTAAATGACCTCCTATGGTTGATTTCCCAGCATCAACATGCCCAATAAAAACAATATTTACGTGCTCCTTGCGAGTGCCATCTGAAAAAGAACATTTTGAAGCATTGGAAAATATCTTCAAGCATTAAAAATAACCATTTAAAAAAATCATTTCCTACCATCTATGTAGACTGCACGCTTGAACCTGACAGGGATCGCAGTAACTTCATCATCTTCTTTTGTTTCAGAATCTGCCAGTTTGCCTCTTGCATCACCATTCGAAGCAGCACTATCTGCTTTTTCATTTTCTCTTTTATCTTCAATAGCTTTCTCTTTCATTTCTTCGATGTCATCCTAAATTTATTTTTTAAAGTACCAAAAATAAAAAATTTCCCCAAAAAGTTCAAAAAACAATGACAAAACTTCAATTCCTGCATATTTCTAGGACTAATGTCTTTAAGTACAAATGGAGAAAGATTGAATAAATATTTTTGAATAGCTGACACCAAAAACATCTTTTTTTGGTGATTGATTTGGAAAATTACACGCTGGTTGTTTTGGTTGCACAATGTTGTCACTTTCTGTCTCTTCATCATCCCATGCAGATACTTAAAAAATTCAAATTATTAAAGATTACGTTCTATAATGGCCTTTTTAAAAATGAACTTACGTTCATAAAGAGAAAAACTTATATTTAAAAAATACCTGATTTTTGTGGCTCTAAATTATATGGCGGCAAATGATTATTCACTGGTGGAATTATAAACTGTTGCTGTGGCATCACTGAATATTGATTATATAAATGAAACAGAGGTTGATAAGGCCGTTGAAAATTTGGTATTGGACCTTGCGGATGTATTGGCGGTGGTTCCATATATATGAAACGCTGACCAGGAGTAAATGAAGGAGCATTTGGATTTGGTACAAACGTTCGCGCATTTGGATTCAATCCACGACGGGAGCGCTCTTCTGCCATCAATTTCACGATTTCACTAAAAAAAATTCTTAAACTGATCGAGAAATAAATAAATAAACATTTACAAACAACATTTCATTCAAATAGAATAAATTAGAGGTATGAAAAGTAAATTAATGAAAAATGATAATCTTAAATGATAATATATCAAAGTAGAAAAAAAACAAATTCCCTTGACTAATGTAAATGAAGTAATGCAATTTCTTATTGCACTCAGTTTCAGTTTGCGCCACTGTTTTATGAATATCATTCAAAAACAAGGAAACGAAAAGCGAAATATAGAGGAGAAAAGGACAGAGAAAAAAATGGAGATCAAGGAGGAATCACCTTAATGGAGAAGACGCAATGTCTGACTGCAATTGAGACGTTTATTAGCACAAAGCAGATAGGCCATCCTTTCTCGTTTTTCTACAGCGGTAGGATTCTCCAAAAAATATTAAGGTCTTTCATCGTTCTTAAAAAAGCTTATAACTTATGAAATGGGAAATCAAATCTATTTAAAAGAGCCGGCCATTGAGCCACTGAATAAGACTTTTCGAGAGAAGCAGAGGAAGAACTTCGGCAGCGCCCGGACTTAACCTTCTAGCAAGAACAAATCTGTGAAAATTAAGCCTGTGATATCCACAACCAAAATGACAACAACTAGGAAACAATGAAAATCAATAAAAAAAACGGAAAAATGGGATCGTTCATTGCACGGTGCACTTCTGCTGGTAATGCTAATCTAAATTGCAGCTTCGAATCGTCTGACTGTCTATTAAAACTTAATATATTTCAGCTGCTCGACAATTCATTGACCAAAGAATGGATGTAAATTTCCTATTTTGCTTGCATAATGACACTGGCATTCATGCAGGAAATCTGCCAGTTATGAAACGTAAGGGAATAATAAGCATTAGCAATCGCCACTTGAAAAAAATAAGGTGACCTGCCGTTTTGAAGGCATGTTTATTTCCTTCAGTCTAAACGTAGTTAGTTAGTGCTAACTATTTGTATTTCGCAACAGTAACCCCATTATACCGTATTGTATTATAGAAAAGATCAAAACAACAGAAAAAAGTGAGAGGAGCGAGGTCATGTTATTGTCATCGCAATTCGGCTATACTGTACCACCTGTACGGCTGAATACAATTTTGCTAATACTGCTGGACATAAAATTTTATAATTGTCATCATATTTACTACTTCGAACAAAGCATTCTCTCCGACATCGAGCACAATCGCTCGGCATAAGTTCATTTTCAAGCAACAAAAACTCGGATTATAAGCTGAAAGTCGAATTTTTTTATGAAATCTTTAATCTCCTATCCTCACAGAAATAAACCAGGATTTCTTATTCTGTTTAATTTTCTGCATTGATGAAAAAGTTAATTTTCTTAATAGCGTCATTTTATACCTTACAGAGCAAATCCCTTTAAGGAAAGTCGGTTCCCATTTTAAAATTATTAAGTCTCTTTAAAAAAGTGTCAAGAAACTTTATAATACAAATTAACCAAATTGCCAGGTGACTTCTCTGCATATAAAGAATATTTAAGAAATTTCCGTAGTGCCATTCATAATTACTTTTCAAATAAAGAAAAGAACTTTTAAAGAACTTTTAAATATTAATAGAAATTCTTTCTGGGCCTACATCAAAAGAAAATTTTCAAATTCACGTAAACAATTAATTCTGCAACATAATGAATGTGACCTCTGATATTGATATTGCAAGTAATATTGATATATTTAATCAATATTTTTCTAGTGTATTTGTTGAGGATAATACTCATATTTCTTGTTTTAATGTAAATGGAATTTGTTGCACTTTTCTCGGTGAAGTTGAAATAACACTACTGTTTAAATAGACTTAAGCCGTCCATTTCAGCTTGTCCCGATAATATTCCACAAGTAATTTATAAAAAATGTGCACTTCCCCTATTTTTAACTTATACGGATATTATGAAATCTGGCCTTAATCCCAAAATTTGGAAGTTGTCTCATATAATTCCCATTCATAAAAAGGAAGCACCTATGACTCTTCTAATTATAGACCTATTAGCCTAAAATGCATTGGTAGCAAGATACTCGAAAGGTTAATTTACAACAAATTGCTTACTTATCTTGATGCCAGTAATTTCATATCTTCCTATGGCTTTTGTACAAAAAAATCTACTTCGTCATAAATATTGGCAAATTTTTCCGATTGGTCAACATCAATTGACAGTGGAAAAACAGTATCAGTTGTGTACCTAGATTTGGCTAAAGCTTTTAATACTGTTTCCCATAATAAATTATTGATCACTCTTTATTTGTTGTATTACTGGGGCCCTTTACAACTGGGTGTAAGATTACATAAATGATCGTCTTCAAGCTGTATGTGTCAGTAGCATTCTTTCTAACACAACACCTGTTAAATCTGGTGTTCCACAAAGTAATTGTATTGCGCCACTGCTTTTTCTATTATGACAGCACCAATGTGGTACTAAATTCTACTATTTATCTTTAGGCTGATGATTGTAAAATTTATTATTCTCATAATAGAACAGATAGCCTATCTCCACTGCAGGAGGACCTCAACAGAATAGCCAGCTGGCTATATGACAGGCAAATTACCCTTTCCTTTCAAAAATGTAGTGTTCTTCATATCAATTCTAAAGGTTTCGATTTTCCTAATCTTATTACTAATGGCAATATAATCAGTAGAATCAGTAGAATTTCCGATCATGGAATAACCATGGATGGAAATCTCGATTTCGACCTTCATTGCAGAACCATGGTAAAGAAATCCGCAAAGATACTAAATTTTATTTTTCGTTCGTTTTAGAACAAAACTGAAGAATTTCCTATCAAAATGTACAAAGAGTTCGTTCGGCCACTTCTTGACTACAATGCTACATGTTACTCCACGAGATATCGTAAATCAAGTTAAATAATTGAAGGACTCCAAAAATATTTTATACGGCGCCTCTTTCCTGATTGCAATTTTAATTATAAAAGAAAACTTCTACAATATAATCTGGATTATCTGTCAGTTCGTCATATTAAACAAGATTTGATTTATATTCATAAGATTTTGTATGGTTATGTTAAATTAGATTGTTCAAAATATTGTAATTTTGTGTTAAATTTAAGTCAACAAGAAGAAGAACTAATTACTAAAACTAAGCTAAGGACTTTTTTTTTATTCGTAATAAGGATGATTTCTTTATTCGTAATATTAATTAATGGAATAAATTACCGACGATATAGCTTGTGCGCCATCCTTAGCAATCTTTAAAAAAAGATTACATAATATCATTTATGATTAATTATGATGTTATTTAAAAAGTTCACATCATGCAGAAAGTGTGAAATCTCGATTTTTACCATCCGATTATAGTTATTTCGAATTGTACTATATTATATTATTTTGTAATTTCCTCTTTATTTCATCTTTAAATTGTTAATTATATTTTATTATTATTTTTTGTTTCTAATTCTTTTGTCATTAATTCTTATTATTTGTTATTTTAGCTGTTGTTATTAATAGAAGATTTTGAGACGTTTGCGCCCTGCTTCGCTGGTTTTCAATAAATAAATAGATTAAAAGGCAATATTTCCTATTGACTATTAATTTTTTCTCACGTTGACTAGAAATATATCAAACTAGCTCATCTTACCATACTCAGTCTAACAGTCATAATGTTTTGCCAAACAAATTTGAAAAAGCACTTATCAAAATGGATGAAGAAGGGATGAAATCAAAAAATTTGCAAAATTTCTTATTATATTACAAGATCACACCAAAGGCTTCTTTACCTAATCAGAAAATTCCATCAGAAGTTTTAATGGAGCGAAAAATTTGGATTTTTCATAGGTCTTTTGCACCCACTGTCGAAGAATCCTTATCATATAAAAGTGTGGAAGAATGTTTTCACAAATAACGCAAAACTTCACTGTTTCAAAAAAGATCACTTTTTTATATATTCGAAACTTCCAACGAGAAACATGGAATCCTACTAACATTATCAAAAGTTTTAAAAAATAAAAATATATTTAAAAAACAAAAACTGAAAAAACAGTTCAAGAATGACATGCCAATCAGCTACAAAATTGCCAAATTAAAAAATTGATATATTTCATGGAGATAAGGGATGGCATGGCTCAGTGGGTTGTTGCTCAATTTGGAGCGCTGGTGCTAAGGTTCGATTCCCTGCAGGATTAAGCCTGTACAAAAATCCGAGTGATGTTGACAATTCACCTGTATTTCCATCTCCAAAGGACTTTATGACATATTGCCCAATGCAACAAGCCAGTGGAACGAGTTTAACCAGTAATGGTGAAGACTCTTAAAAAAGCACTTCATGGAGGCGTTTGATCTCAAACAAATAAATATGGATATTCGCTACAAGAATCAAATCCAGTTCGTTCAAATTACAGAGGATCACAATGAAGTTCGTAGACTTGACTTGGGTCTGCAAGCGCGCAAGCAGTTAATTTGATATTATTAACTTTTTCAATTATAGTTGATCTGTATCTAAAATACTGCAAATATGTTTAATCCATTCATCCATTAATTTACTTGAATCTAAACGTAGTTAGTGCTAACTATTTGTATTTCGCAACAGTAACCCCATTATACCGTATTGTATTATAGAAAAGATCAAAACAACAGAAAAAAGTGAGAGGAGCGAGGTCATGTTATTGTCATCGCAATTCGGCTATACTGTACCACCTGTACGGCTGAATACAATTTTGCTAATACTGCTGGACATAAAATTTTATAATTGTCATCATATTTACTACTTCGAACAAAGCATTCTCTCCGACATCGAGCACAACCGCTCTGCAATTCACGTACATAGGGTCAAATATAGAGGGTTTAATAAGTTCCTGGTAAAGATGCCGGGATCGAAACTATGACCTAAGAGGAAACTACAAGTCTTCAGCAAATATATTTAAAGTGACTGGAAATCAAGGCAAATGAATTAGCAATTTTTCTCCAAAACGACCTGGCAAAAAACGATCTTTTGATTGAGGTGGAGAGCGCTGGACTGTTTGCTTGACCTTTTTGCTTCCCTTTCCCTAATATATTCATCCACACTTCTTATTTTCGTATTTCCCACACGTTGCCGTTCTATTTTCGCAGCAACAATAATTTGCTGTGTCGGTACTATCAGTATACTTGTAAATCTTTCGTATTTCTTTCACCTGTGCTCATGCTACTAATCGCCACTAAAAAAAACTGCTGGACCTTGGAGAAGAACGTTGTAATTCTTGTCAATTTTTTTTAAATTTGCATTTCTGGTTCCACTATGTGGCTGAAACGCTTTTCTCAAAGAGTCTCTAAAGAAATGCAGATGGTTCTCCAGCGGTTATGGCGCTTTTTATAACCGGCTTGCCCCAATCAAGCAACAAGAATCAAACGCATTCCAGTGTTTCTTTGCCTTTAGCCAAGACAATTCGATTAAGATTCAGTCACAGGTCCATTGAAAAAAAATTGAATTGATTAAATGTTAAAAAGTTAAAATGCAACTTTATTTACAAACAAAATTATAAATATAAATAAAAAACTGTGAAATTTGCGCGAGGGAAATTTTAATAGTGAAATTATATAATGAAATTATTTAATTTTCTTTAAAAATGTTAAAATGTTACTAATGCTTAAGTAAAATTTTAGCAAACAGTTCGGCGAAATTCATTGTTCTAAATTCCAGATTTGTTGATTGGACGGTCATTCAGTGACCACCAACGGCGATTTGTTTATTTTTCTTCTCAAAATTGTTTTGCTAGAGCTATACAAACATTCAATGATTTTCGTTTAATTCATTGACTGGTTTTAGAATTATCTTTTTTCCAATTTTAACGCTCCTTTTGTCGGTGAAAATCTTTTGATTATATATTAAAAGTTTTTAGCTTTTTATATAACTTTTAAAACAAATTTCATATCAAAAAATGATACTGTTAATAATAATGTCAATAATAATGTTATGTTTTGATATTTAAGAAGCGGTAAAATATAATTTTCGTGGTTTGGACACAGTGGATACTTAGGAGCAGGTTACACATGGATGAGGATTTAATTGGGCATTGCTCTCTGACTTTGTTTTTTATGCAAATTTGTTATGAATTATATAGTGCAAATGCAGTAGTCGATTCATTAAGGATTATATGAACATTTCATCAGAGAAGTTAAACTTTTTTTCAAGTTTACTAAACAAAAAATCGCCTACATAACAGAAAATAACATTTTTTCATGAATAAATAAATGAAACAAACAGTCAAATGGTAGTCGCAAATGAGCACACAAACTTCTAAAACTAGAAATAAATTTATAAAATAAATAATAATAAAAATGCGTTTATTTTAGAAATTAACAAGTAATGTTCAGAAACAGAATGACAAAATGGTTTTTATGATCTCTGAATGGGACTTGGCTTTACTCCCTCGACTTTAGTTTTTTTTATATAGCAGAATATCCTTAGTCTTATATGGTTTTTAAGGAAAGCTACAATCAAAAAAATTTATTCGATTTGCTTATTTTTATTGGCAAAATCGAAGAAAGCTGGAGAAAATGATAATTAGCTATAAGCAGTTATAAAATGTGTCAACACTTTCCCTAATGGCAAAAAAAATTCTTTGAAAAATTAGAAGGATATGTGAGCAATATGGCTGAATAATCTATTACTAGCTGGAGAGATTATGGCTTGGCTTCCGCTTCTTGTCGAGAAAGAATCTCATTATAACCTATAATTACCATCCATAAGCAAATCTAACCAGAAATGCTGGGCTGCTGGTATTTTATTCTAATGATTTAATTTTGCCATGATACGATTCGAAATACGTTTGCCTTTCTTTTTAAGTTCTTTATTTGCTACGATATGAGTACAAATAAAAAAAAGAGGGAGGTCACGACTATTCGACTAAAGCATGGTATCTAACTATCAGTGCAACATTTTTTTGGATTTCTTCACAAATAATTTATTATTTATTTCAATTTTAGAAAAAATTTTAGAAAAAGTGCATCAGGACTTTAAAACGAAAAAAAGCAAATTCTTGAAGAATTTCAGATATTTTGACTGGATTTCGAAGGTAAATGCGTTGCAAGGGCAGTTAAAAGCTTTCCAGACTTCTGCACAACTAGTTTTAACCTTATCGTTTTCCGTTCTATTGAACTTTCAATCCAGATGAGTTCATCGAAAATCATTTTACATAATCATTTCTCAGCTTGATTACAAAGAGTTACCCGCCCAAACTCGATTAGCCAGTCTTGAATATGTAAGTATATAAAGCAATTCGATTTAATGGTAAAACTTGTCCCAACACAGTTTTATTTTATGTATTAATTCCCTACAGTGTACGAACACAATTTCTTTACGCTTCGTCAGCATAATTTTTACTTTTATTTTGACCTCAAATTTGAAATCTGATCAATACTTTTTAAATTCATTTCGACTCCATTCGTTGGAAATGGTAAATAATCGCATATAACTCTTGACTGCACCAGGAGCTATCAAAAGATCTCAAAAGATTCTTGAACTTAATTGGGAAAAAAGTTTACATTATCAATTACATTTTCATTACCAGTATTCTTCAAGTCAAACTTTAACCATCCCCTTCATCTATGGATGCAGGTAACAAACTACTGTAATATCAGTAGTGCTTTTCACTTTATCACCAATAAAACCACAGATATTTTCATAACTTCATATTATAGTAGTATTGCTTTTCTATTGCATTCCCTATTTATTGCATTTCTATTTAAAGTATTCATGAATGAACTGTACATTATTCAGATGAGTTCATAGATTTCATGATGATACATCGGACTGACAAAGCGACCGATGATACAAAAGAAAGATTGGTAATCTCTGATATAGTTGATTTCTATCCGAAATTGACCTGCGCATAATGAGGGTCTCATTCGTAAATCACTTATATGCTTGGTGGAATGGAAAAGATAATCTGCATAATAAATAAGTTTCATCTTTGAAATAAAACTTCCGTGGTACTAACCATCTATTCTACAATAAAATTTTTATCGATTAGGGAAATTTTAATTCTCTTTTCTAAAAACTTTGAAGGTTTTATTTTTGTTCACGCTTTTATAACTCAATTTGCTAATAGTTACAATTGCAATTTTTAAGGTTATTTTATGGTGTAGGAGGTAAACTATAAGCAAAAAATTCCTTTAGCTCACTTTGTCCCAAATTTTTTGCGAAAAAACTTTTAGTCGAAAAACAGGATTTTGCTTCTTATGAAAAGCTGTCACCCTCTCGTCGAAAAGTATAGTACACACAAAGTAAAGTTTTCGGTGGGTACGATCCCAGTGTTCAATTATAGCAAATTGGAATTTGATGAATTCGGCTATGCTTTCACTTTCACTGAGATAGGTGCTATATTTAGAAATAAATGATCGCCTTAAATTTCTTTTAATTACATATGGTGCAATACAATATTATGCTTGAGGTGCACGGTACAGTGATCTAATTACTTCAGTCTAATCCTTTACAGCGATCATAGATTGAATAATAATACTTCTACCTTTTCTGGTTTTCGATAACTGGCACTTCGCATGACCAGTAAAAAAGAAACTTTTATTAATTAATATTTACCTTTTCCCTCTTTTCCTTTTCCGTCAGAGCAGTTCAAAAATTTTGAATTTGAATGTCGGGGCCAACCACTGTAATACTATTGTGAGTTCCTTCTTCTGACAACGCTCACGGTAACAGTATTTCTGCTTTAGCTGGTTTTACTAATTATTAAGATGGACCTCATTGCCAGAGAATCTCCTGAGGATACGGTTGGGTTTTTAGGAACATTAGACTATATTATACCTTATTAGAACAAATTCGCATTAATAATTAAAGGTATTAGAAATTTATACTTTCATAGAAAAAATTTCTTATTAGCTGAATTTAATTCGAAGGCATATTTTTCTCGAACTTAAAAAACATTGGTTCATGAATAAGACCGATGTAGTGCGTACGATTCATCTAGTTTCATTTATGGATTATTGCATTTTGTTTGCCATGAAAACCAATTCGCGATCTTTTTTTCGATATTTAACTAGATTGTGCCTAAACCATATACTAGAATGTAGAATATAAGTTTCGCCAGAAAATTCTTGAGCGGTAACTAGTCATAGGCTTTTCTTAATTGATTTAAGAGCAATCATTTTCAGTAGATATCAGAGGTGATGCTCTAATACTCATATTAGAAAATTTTTCGCATACGTGTAAGAGTGGGTGGCACAAATTTTTCTTGCATTTCCTCGAACTATTTCTCTGTGATTCGTTAAATTTTTTGAAAATTATGCTTCAAATTAAATTGATGATGATTATGAGATATAGTTTCATCTGTGTAAATCTTGCAGCAATCTTGTACAGCAATAAAAGATCGTGGATATTAGAATGGTGAAGTTTGTAGTGACTATTACTATGACTGCTAATTTTTGCGTTTTTTTATAGCCATTCTCGGTATAACTATGATTCCCATAACGGCTGCATTGTTAGTTTCTATACCATTCGCTATGTTTCTTGTATTATCAACGTCAGTAGAATTCAAGGATATGGATGGTATTCCGTTAAATCGTGAATTGAACGGCGAAGTTAGCAAATACTTTCATTCACTAAATTCATCAGGTATCTTAAGATCTTAACTTTCATTCAATTGAATTTCATCGTGTAACTCAATTCATTGGAAATTAATCGCATATACTTATTTAGCATTAAGTCGAACGAAAAGGCAGTGGGGAAATTGTGCACCAGGATGCTTTCCCAGCTGTCAAAGTAATTTCCAATGTCAACGCTTTTTTCCACAGTCATTTTGCAGACAATCTTGTTGTTGTCCGTTAACTTATGTTCCAGTTGATTTGAAAAGTCGGTTATTTATTTTTCCATTCCTATTGTTAAATTGTACTGCTTATTGCTTTGATATATTCATATTCAATAAAATAATTATTAAGAAAAGACGACATGAACTGCTTTTTTTATATACAGTTGTCGTTTTTCTGAAGCGTTAAAATGTTCGGATCGATTAAACGATGGATATAATAATAATAATTTCCATTGCTTCAGCAGCTTGTGATGGCGGGCCAGCTGTTGGTGCCTGTACTCCAACAGGTCTCTGTGGGCAAGGATTCATGTGTAATTACCGTGGGTTGTGCTGTCGTTGTCGATCAGGGAACTCATCAGGTAAATATATTTGACTATCTCATATTTACATTTTATTTTATCCATAAAAATTTCATTTCATTTAAAACCTAAATTATTTGTTAGCACAGTGTTTTATAAACAAATGCATATACAACTTTAGACTTTTGATTGTTTAAAATTTAATTTGCAGAATAAAATTTAGAGATTACATATACTAAAAATACATTTAGGACTTGAAATGAGAATTGTAAGTTAAAATGACGTAGAAAAAGTGGTTAGCACTCATTGCTTCTTGGTAAGCTCATTCCATTGGCTATAAAAAATTTTCGCCACTTGGAGACGGAAGCGAAAGTAGTCGCGAGCGCTACTCGGAAATTTCATTAACATATTTAAGTTGGCTGAAGGCAGAATCCGATTCCTGTTATTTGTAACGATAACTTAAGCAACAAAGACTTGGACATCACACCTCCATGATAATTAAAATATATAGTTGAAAATCGAAATCATTCTGAACGCAAATTAATTTAATTCTATTTCCTAAAAAAATTGTTAAAGATATTGTCGTCTAGGACCTTGTATCAATGGCTTCTGTCCAACCGGATATTCTTGCAACAAATTTAACTTCTGTTGTCCAGTAGCATCTGGTATTGTAATTGGTAGGAAAATATATTACACAATCATTTTTAATTTTTTTTTAGACTTTTAGGAGTAGTAAATTCTCTCAGATTATTTAAGAGAAAATAATAGTTAGCACGTTGAAAATATTACCTACGAACCATGGTTCAAAGCAATGTGGCCACTCTTCAGTGAAACGATATCATAACAAAAACTCTGTTGAAGGAATTTTTGAAGTTCTTTTTGGTGATGATCTCGGCAAGCATTGTAGACGTATGCATATCACCAAGCTCTATAGCTGAATATAAGAATATAAAATCGATTAGATGGTAATCGAAATGTTATTTCTTTGAATAATCCTCACAAATACATTTCCAGTTTTTTTCGGAGTGCCATGTAATTAGAACCAATAATAATTATCCACAGTCAAGAAATTCAAGATTTTATTTTCTTCTTTAAGGCCAGTGTATTAATGGACAATGTCCAGAACGCTCCACATGTGGACTGGGAAATCTTTGCTATGCAAACATTGAAAGCGGCTGAAAGAGGAAACGAATCAGAACGGCTAACTTCACATAACATTATTAAGACCGTTTGTAGCTTTTCGTTTGACAAACAAACATTTTATCCATTCTACCACTGCGATAATAGAAAATATTTTGATGGGAATACAGTAAATCAAAATGATTTATTCGTGTTATTGTGTTATTTCCTAATTTCTCTTCTTTAAAACTTCTCTTCAACATTCATTCCATCGTTTTTCTCCTACGATAAGGCGAATAAATCAAGCAATGCGTGCCGATTCCGTACCCAAATTAAGTTTTTCCTGACATGCTCGCCAAGCAAAAAACTAAGAGATAGAAATATTCTCGAACGACTTTAAGCGAAATCTTCTTGTCTTGAGGTAAAGTTATGTGGAAAGTAGGCAAAAAGTACATACATAATGAAAATACATAATGAAAATCACTGCCAACTGTACGGCGAAATGAGTACACATTTCATTTTTTTGTTTTTTATCTTCTCAAAAAAGATTTTTTCGATTCTTCGGTTTGTCTTTTACCCAGTTTTTTGCTTTCCAGTAAAATATTGTGTGTTTTATTTATCGATCTTTTTGCAATTAAAAAGCTTTCTTAAAACTGATCTCAGAATGTAAAATTTTGCATTTTAATATCCAATTCTGAATTAATAATTTTTGTTATTTTCACGACGCTCAAAATTTGCTATGAATTTGACTTGTCAAAACTTGATAGTTCCATTCAACAAAATCAGTTACGGTTGCATAAAAGCGACTATTTTTATCTCGAATAAAATATTTCAAGTTGCATTAAAGTCGGTTACCATGTTGAAGAAAATGCCGACACTGTTGTACTTAACATAAGCTGAATGGGAACAAAAGTAGTTAAGAAGCAAAAAAATGAATTATTTGATACAATACAAAAAAAGAAATCCCCAGACGAAGATGTCTCAAGGGAGATCCAGCAATAATGTCGATCTAAGTGATTAACAGGATTACTTCTTTTTCCCAGGCTAATGAAAAACGAAGATTATTATGCGCCAGAAATATTTTTTAAAAAATCTTGTTCAGTGAAAATTAGTCTGAATTATTTTTGTGCAACTATGATTTAAACACATGCTCTGCTCTCACCCATCCGTCATTGTTAATTTTCCGCCAGAAATTGGATTATTGGATTTTATTATTTAGGTTGTGACAATTTCAAAATCAATAATTTCACAAGTTCGTCGTACATCGATCACATGTACTAAAACCCTGGAACTAGTCAAATAAAGAAAGAGTTCCAAACCTCGATAAGCCCAACGATATGAATCAGATATTTGTTTCTCAACCAGCCAGACCAGGTTATCAAAAATTTAAGTGCGGATATCTCTGACTACGCACCGACATTGGCTATTAATATATGGACTCGATCAGACTTACAAATAACCACATCCTGGACATCCAACGCGAGCATATTTCTGTCCATCTTTGAACAGGACGTCATTTGACACTTTTTAATTTTTTTTAAACAATTTTTCACCTCCTAGTTTTAACTTAGTAGTTCCAAACAATTTTATAATAAAATCCAGATTTTAAAATACTTTGTGAACATTTTTCATTCGCTTTCTTTTCTGAAAGTGATTTTATTTTCGGATACACATTCCCCTCTCTCGAATTCATCTTTTATTCATTTTTATTGTTACCATTATCACTGCTATTATTCATTTTTAATTATTTTTAGTGCTCAAGCATCCAGTTATTTCTCACAAGTACTCCAATTCACCGCAAATTTTTTTAGGGGCAGAATGATGCGAATTGCATATTTAGTATGAATTAAACTGAAAATATGCTGCAAAGAATGTGCGATAAAAGTGTCTGCCAAAAATATAATCGCAAAGATAAAAGATATCACTTATATACATATACATTTGTATAAATTCATAACTTTTATAAACGTGGAGATTTTGTATTAAAGCGCCATTTGCGACTGAAAAAAAAAGCTAAATATGAAACCTTTTGATTGTTAATGAGCAAACAACCGTAAAAATAGTGCGCCTCAGATAAACCTCACTTTGATATATTTTTGTTATATATATATTAAATTGATATATTTTTATTTCTTATTACAGAGAAATTAATTAAAAGTTAAAAACAGTACCAATAATAAATAATAATACTAATAATAATAATATAATAACAATAGTGATAATGATAGCTATAATGATAATATGAAAATAATAATAATATGGTAAGACAATAAAAACAACAATAATACTAAAAAATAGAACAGCGGAATAACCGAATATAATATAATATAATATATTAGATAATACATAGAAAATTAAAAAAATAAAGGTGCAATATATGTTAATAGGAAAAGCAATTTTGAACAAAGCGTCCCTTAAGCGCGTTAAAAATTAGTAAAAAAAAGCTCGCTCTGTACGCTGACCAATATAAAATACATGCCCTCAAATAAACATGGCGAAAAGATACTTAAACTGCAGCAAAAAAATGTCACAAAAACATAAAAATAAAATAACCTTAAATAAACAACATACAAAGAATCAGTAGAAATATACAAGCTGTATAAATTTAAAAATTAAAATTTTTAAAATTAAAATAAAATTAAATCTAGAATTATTTAAATCATTCTAATCTTTCTGTATCAACAATTTTACGAAAAAATGGAAAGGGAACAAAGTGATGAATCTCTATGGAAATCCTTATTATTACTATTTTTTTAACTAAAACAATAACTTGAAAAAAAACTTTAAATAATATAAACATTTAGTGATAGCAAAAGGCTAATATTAATTTATCAAATCTTAATAAAACTGTACAAATACCCTCAGGTTTAATAGATATTTACCACCAACAAAGTGACCTTTTGATATGAATTTTTGTAAGGATAATATTACATTTCTTAAATGACAATTGCATCTAATCATAATCTAGTAAAAATAAAGAAAATATTCTTCGTAAAGAAGCATTATTTATTTTGAATAAAAATTCATAGAAAGATTAAAACTGAGGAAATTGGAACGAAATTATTTCAACTGCCAAATTCCGATCAAGCTTTTCTTTCTTTGAACGAGTTATCGTTTTCATCTGATAATCAACTCTAAATTCGATCATAGCAGTCATAATATTTCTTATGAGAAATAGCAATTAATAAACGAAATACTACAGCATATAACGCTAATTTTTTATATAAATTTATATAAATAAATTAAACGCAATAATTTAGACACAAGCAGCCTTTCTAAACCTAAAATAACAAAACATTCACCATAAAGAAGGATAGTAAAAGAATAATGAGAGCAATTAAAGTACAATAAAGTACCATAAAGCCATAAAGAAAATAATTGCACAAGATTTATGAATCAACTTTGAAGGAATTAAATAAGAGTTTACAACATAATAAATTCTGCTGTGAAAAATTAAGAAAGATAAAACAGATATGTTCTACAAAAAAAATAGCAATATGCTCCAAACCAAAAAAATAGTTGAAAAATAAAATAAAAATCAATAAAAGTTTGGTGGATAAAAATATTTGACAAATTAAATCAAAAAAATTAAAAATAGAACATTTTCAATAGAGTTCGGTATCTCAAAAAGAGGAAGAAACAATTAAAATACTGACTATTCATGCTGATTTAAAATTTGCTGAGAAAAACAAGAATTACACGAATTCAAGGATAAGGAACTCGACAAAATGAGATTTCGACGCAGAAATGACAACAAGTAATGAAATAATGAAAGTAAATCATCTACACTTTACGACATATCTATATACTAAAGAGCAGTTGGTTTAATCGAGCACGGTGTTTCAGCCAATTCTTTGAGTTTCATTTCAAGTTGCAACTGAATTCGAGCTAACTTTGCTTTTTCATCCATTAATCTAGAATAAAGTCTCATACATCGGTCCTTCCAAACTATCACATCCATATGCAACATAGAATTATCGGCCGCAGATAATTGGTTCATTTGCACGTCTGAAAAACATTACCTGCAATTTCGAAGGTTATGATCATTGATTCAATGATATTTAAAGACTAAATGAATAAATAAAAAGTAAAGAAAAAACCAATTTCAATGTTTTCAGAGGCATAATCACAATTCCGTAAGAAATTACAGCAGGATAATTCTGTTTGTGTTCCAGCATTATTCAAAGTATAATAACAAGCCGATGATGGATCAAAGTTGCTCCAGATATTACTGTCTCGTTCATCTGGACGACGAAGACAAATTATTTGCAAATAAAACAAAAAAAGCATAGGCAAGAAAATGTAGATAAAAAAGTAAAACAAGTAACCTTGAGGTAACATTTTAACTGAATCAGTAATTGCAGAAGTCAAAGAAGTCTGATGATGGATATTCTGAAGTTGTGTTGTGGCGCCTCGTTTCAGTGAGGCACATGTATGAAGCGATGGTGAAATAATTCTAAAAATCCAAATAAAAAATAATAGATTTAAAGCAAAAATTCAACAAATATGATGCAAAAACATCATACTCTTTTCCTTTAACGAGGACCATGTTCTTTAAATCCAGACTAGCACTTCGACCATGTCCTTTGTTTGCAGGTCTAGGAGGTGGTTTCGGTGGAGGACCTTTTGGGCCTTGAGGACTCAAAGTGAATTTCAACATTTTATTCAATGGTGTTGGAATGCTCGATGAAAATCCTGAATATATAGCTGAAAACAAACAAATAGGTAAACTAGAATGAAAATTTGCAAAAGACAAAGTATGAAGGGCAATAAGGTATAAGAATAAAAAGAAATGTCTCTATTGTCTCTATGCCACCATTTGTGAAGTCAAATAGTAACATTTTGAATCAATGTTCTGAGGAAAATATATAAAAGAATATTAGTGTTTTAATACAGGTAACTAAAAGCTTTGATAACATCTCGCAAAGAAAAAACTTTACAGTGTTTACAGAATTTAAAAAAAAAAGTGAAATGAACGCTTAAAGCAAAAAGGTGTGAGAAAACTATCCCATTTTTTAACATACCTTCAGTTGGCCTTAATGCTGTTGGTCGGTCGTCAA